GCTGGAATATAAATTAAATATTAATTAATAAATTTAATTAAGTATTAAATATGTAAGTAAAGTTTTAAAATAATTGAATATTTTATGAATGAGGATGTGTTAAACACCAAAATATTTGTATATATGCTTAATATATATATATATATATATATATATATTAATAAATAAATAGAGGTACTTATGTTTCTTAGCCAATATTAATTAAGTTTCATTAAAATTTATTATGTAATTATGCAATATTAATTGAGTTGATTAATTTTATAAAAAAATATATAATAACATGTGAATTATATACATAAACACATAGTAATGAGGAGATAAAATAATCATGTAAAATATTATTGCAAAAATTCACGATATTAAATTATTTATTTTTTCATTTTACTTACATTTTGTATATGGATTAAGGTATGCCATAGTTCAAATTTCATATCATATGGCTGTATGAATGTGTTTACCTTCATATTAAGTCTTAATTGAACCCATATTATGTGTTAATTACAATTTATACTAATTTATATATTGTCGCACTATATCTAAGTATATGTATTTAAACATACATAACATTATTATTTGAAAATAATATTATTAAGGAATTTAAGAAATTTTGTTTAAGGACCATCTTGTTTCATTATTTATTGTGTACAATAAATAATGTAAAAAAGTAAATTTTACAAAACTTCTTAAAGTATGCAATTAAAGATTTTGTTAGCAAATTTTTTTTACTAATAATTACCGATTGAATATATTAACAAATTGTGTTGAAGTGATTAAACTATATCCATTACCAAAATAAACTGTTATACACAAAGAACTAAACTAAGGAATTAATAAATTTTAAAACTTAACAAAAGCTTTAGTATTATTTTCAATATTACAACAACAGTTTCTGAAATTCTAGCATTGTAACAGATTATAACAAATTGCAACAACAAACAGATCATAACATATTAACAATCTTTCTATTCAAAATTTTCAAACGCAATATTATATGACAATAAAACCACTGTAACTAATTGTCAAGTAATAATCAAAACTGTACACGAAATTTTAAAGTTCATGTCTTAAAAGTTGACAAGAGCTATTCAAGATGACAATTAAAATTCGTCAGATTAGGGACTTTTATTATAAATTAGCGACTTTTTATAATAAATTGCAGAACTAATTATATTAAGAGTTTTCATCTCACAAAAAGAGCAAAATTTACACTGAAATTATTTTAAACTTAATTTATAACATGAAAATTATTAATTTAAGAAATACACCTATATTAATTTTTCGCTTTAATAATGTGTAATACTAGAATATAAATTATAATATTGCATGTTGACTTAAAACCCCAAAATTATTCGGGAAATACCGTTTCTTCTCTTGTTTTTTATTTTATTAAAATAATAGCTTAAGGAATTTTCTCTCAACTTTAATCAAATCAATTTTTTACTCTCTTTAAGAAATAAAAAATTATTTTCTTCTTCGTCTCTTTTTTCTTTTCTTTTGTTATATTTTTTAATTGAAGTTAAATATAATAAATTATTGTATTGTATTTGAAATAATAACCAAATTAAATAAAGAACAGAAACAACACAAATAAAAAAAAATTGTAAAACTTCAAATTTATAATTAATTATATTATTGTGTAAATTTTTATACATAAGTGCTTACATAAATAAAATACTATATTGATGGTAGTATACTACACACAATAATAGCAATTTTATATTTTATATGAGCATGGCTACAGTATAATCTCGCTTAAAAGAAATTTTTTCTTAATTTGTTGTTAATTTAGTGTTGAAAATGTAAATTTGTAACACGAATTATAACAGTTTTAAGAAACTCTACATAAATATTTCTAAAATGTTTTTCTGAAAATTTTTTTCAAAAAAAAGAGATGTTTGATATTGCCTATTAGGTTCGCTATATAATTTCACTGTATTTGAAAACATTATTTTCTGGAAAATCTTTATGTTTACATAATAAAACTATGTTTCTTAGAGAGGCTTAGTTTATTTCTTTCGTATGATGGGAATTATAAAAAATCTTACGGGTCGACTTGAGAAGGTCCTAAAGGACTTGGTTCATTACTCGAAAAAAAGTCTCATGTTGTGAGGACGAAAAATTTCTCTTTACATTAGATTTCTTTTAATTGCGTTATACTGTTTTTTTTTTTATAATTTACTTGAAAATCTAATATAGTATAGAAATAATGAAGTACTATATAGAAATAAAAGAAGGAATTATATACCTAGTAATATCCACTGAAATTTAATTAAAAGAATTATAGCGTACAGTTATAATTATATTATAACATTATATACATTTAGTATAACAGTAATTATAATTTTATACAATCATAATTCATATACAAAAAATTAAATAAACCAATGTAGGTCCTACCTACTCTACTTGTATATTGAAATATGATATAAATTATAAAAAAAGTATATCTTTCTTTTTCTATCTTCTTTCATACTTTGTTCGTTTTACATTACCCTTTTTTTTCTGTTTTTGTATTCTCTTTTATTGTTTTTGTTTCATTTTTGTTTTGTTCTATAATATTATATAGGCAGTAAGTATAAGAGTTCTAATTTTAAATTTAATTTGAAAAATTTTTTATTTTTGTTTTTTATTTCTCTTTTTATCACTCTTTTCTTTTTATTGTTGTTTTTCTTTTTTGTTGTTTAATTTTTTATTTTTTTTTTTGTCTTCATTGGGACCATACCGTTTAGAAAGTTTTTAAAGTTCTTAACAAATTTGAACAACAATAGAAAATCCGTGACTTGAATATATAAACAAAATAAAATAATAATGAAAATAATAAAAAAAAACAACAACAGCAAAAAAAATAAAGAAATAAATAAAAGAAATACGTCAAGAAATAAGTCAAAAAATATAAGAACTGAGATAGAAAATAATAATAAAAAAAAACCAACAGAAAAACAGAAAAAATTAAAAAAAAAAAAAAAAACTTTTAAGAAAACTTAAATTACTTGTGAACAAATTTTGCATAAGAAAACCATTTAATAGGTAATGACATGCAAAAAAACTTGACTTGTTTTACACTTTCTCTTCTTTTGGTTCTTATATTTTATCTTCTATTCAGAATTCAGATTTCATTTTTATTTTATTTTTTTCATTTTGTTTTCATTTTGTATTTTCTTGTTAATTTTCTTTCTTTTATCATGACTCTTTAATAACAATAAGAGTAATTTCACAGAACAGAGAGAAAAATCAAACAACATTTTATTTTTACTTTATTTTTTTTGTTTTTTTTTTTTTTTTTTTTGTAAATTTATACTATAAAGGATGGCTGGGTTTTCTTTTACCATTATGCAGTAACTACTTACATAATAATATAGAAATTGTTTTATATTATAAATAAAATGAAGAAAAAAAAAAAACAAAACGAGAAAATGTAAAGAAAAAAAAAATAATATCTAATTACAGTATAATGGTAACACAATATACACCTGCTTATTCATACATAATCATTCAAACAAACTCATACACATTTAAGTCATACACATACAAACTCATACATAAAAGAAGGTTAAAGTTAAGCGATGTAACATGATTGTTACTCTTGTATACTCCTTGGTATAATGAAAATTTTTTTTTTTTGTTATTTTATTCTCATATTTTTTCTCTTATTGTTTTTTTTTTTATTTTCTCTTATAGTAAAATGAGGTGATCCCTATAGATTTATACTGATTTAAATAGTTGTGTTTTTTTTTTTTTGTATAATTGTTTTTCTCATCTATTTTCTGTTAAAAGAAAGTTATTTGCTCTTAAAAGAAAGAGAATAAAAAATAAAGAGAAAAACAATTTTTAATGCAAGTTGTTAAGCTATAGGTACTTATAATTTTAATTTTATATTAAGAACTTTTTTATATAATTTCAATTTAGAAAATTAACCTATATCTTTTGAAAATGGGGTTGGAAATTTTTATTGTTGGTATCATAATGTTGAACTTCAAATGATATTTTTAATTAAGTTAAAATTTTTAAATGCATTTTGCCTTAGAATATTAAATTTTATCTAATTAAAAAGTAAAATATTGATATTATATTATATGGATACATGCATTCTAAAAGGTCCGAAAATTGAGTGTTAATCAGTTGAGCGAATATTTTCTCTATTTGTTATTCATGAATTTTGGTGTGGTAAAAAATGAACTCCTTCTCAAGTCAGAATTACAGTAGTTTTGAGTAAATTATGTTCAAAAATTTTGTAGGTATTATAATTCTTAAAAAAATTTGGAAAATTTTAATTTTTGTTTGGTTTCGGAAGTTTGTTGTATTAAATTGTAAAATGTTTTTCAAATTATTAAAGCTATTTTTAACTTCTAGTGTATAAAATTTTTTAAATTACATTGTACTCAATCAATATGAAAAAGTGTAGCTGAATAAAATTTTCCCAGCAACAATACCAATAAATTTGAAGTATCAAATTATGTGTATTTTGTACACATTATTTGGAATATTTAGAAAAGTTTTTTCTTATGAATTTAATTTAAACACATACAATTTGTAAAGAAAGGAAAAGAGTTGCTATCTCTTGAAATGAATAATTCTATAATTAAATTCAATTTTATGAGGGTGCCAAACTTAAGTCACATCATTTCGGATTTTCTGTGATAAACTCCAATATTTTTAGGTAAACTGTATGATCGATAATATTTTCGTAAATTTTTTGTTTATATTCAGCCTTTATTATATTCCTGTTGTTTCGCCTTACTCTTTCGTATTTAAAAATGAGTCTTATATATGAAAAGCTTTTTATTCATTGAAAAATTGATGAAAGAATATTGTTTAAAGAAGGCAATATCAAATAGCTCAGAAGACAAGGACTTTGGTGAAATAAGGTGCAACTAAATTAAATTTCAATTTTTTTGTGGTAACTCTGTATGTAGTAGCTCGCAAATTTTATAAAAAAATTGTATTGTTTTTTTCAAATTTTTTTAATAAATATTTTCTTTTTTTTCTTATTTTTCTTACAGAAATATCTTAATCAATCTTGACTTGGAAATAAAAATTATATTATGGGTTCAACTTAACTAAAATAACCAGGTATTTTAAGGATATGCTTTTGATTACATTTTTCATACTCATTCATTTTTCATATTTTTATAAAATTTTATCTTTAAAATTATTAATACTTAAGTAAAATGTTAATTAATGCACAATTACTAGAATTATTTTCAATCATCCAAAAAGAATGGGTTAAAATTTATGTAAAAAAGGAAATCTCTTAATTAATTCACAAGTATTTTAATGAATTTTTTTTTTTCGGAAATAGATGAAAACTGAAAAATAAAGAATGACAATCTCAATATTAATTTTATTTATTTTTTTTAAAATGTTTATTAAATTTTTTATAATATTAGAAAATTGTGTGGAAAATCAAGTTATTCGCAATACAAAAAAAATTCTTCTATATTAACTTTCGGTATACACAATAAATTATTAATGTGGTAGTGGTGTCAAAGTATAAAAACTTTTTCCATTATCTCAGTTTTACGTCAATACCGAAAAGAAAAGACCAAAAAACAAACTTTATTCCGTTACGTCATCATAATGTGCTTAATATTTTTTCTTTTTCATCCTGTTTTTTTTTTTTTTAATTTAAAATTTAAGATTTGGTTATTGAAAATACGTGAATAATTAAAAATATTGTATAGGGAAAAAAAACAAAGCAAGATAAAAAAGTAACCAATAAACAAAAAACAGCAAGAAATCAAAAAAGAAATAAGAAGAAAAAGAAAATAAACATGAGGAATACTTTTTGACATATCCTCGTTTACCTTTCCTTAACAAATACATATGATATCCCTTGCATATATGGAAGAAAATCCTTGGCAATTCCTTGAAAAAAGTGAAGAAGAAAAATTTGTTTTTTTTTTCATATTGTGCAAAAAGAAGAAATAAGTAACTTTTTTTTTTTCTCCCCCCCCCCCCCTTTAATCCTTAGAAGATCAAAAATATCATCTTATACATAATGTATGTGTACAAAAGAAAAGAAAAAAAAAATAAAAACAAAAAACATGAGAAACTTTATTTTTGATGTAAACTAATTTTTTGCTCCTTTGTTTTCCTTTTCTTACCTTTTAAGCAAAAAACATATCAAACCACACGTCCACATTGCGTATAAAGGAAAACTAATATTGTGTACCTACACATATAACGTAAAAGTTTATTTTGATGTTATATACAGAGTATGTTTAATAAGTAGTTTCACTTTTCAGGTGCTGCGTTAGTTTCTATAAATTTAATCCTTTTAAAATTTTCGAACTAATTTCACAAATTTCAAAAAATTCTCTCATTTATGCAGAAGAATTTTTACAAAATTCCTGAAAATTTGTAGAAAATCGGATAAATATTTCTATATGTGCAAACTACGCAACTGTGTGTCATCTTGTGGAATATAGATATAGTTGTGTAATAGTTGAATAATTCTAGATAGATCAACTATTTGGATTTTTATATAATAAGAATTTTAAGTCATCTATTAAGGGAATAGAAGCTGCACTGACTTATTTTAAAAAGATGCAAAACGCAATGATGTAGAATTTATAAAAGCAAAAAAAAAAATTGAGAAAATTGCAATGTGGAGATTCTTGCTTTTTAAAGCCGAAATCTTAACGGATTTGCATAACGTAGCATTTTTATAAAAAATCTGGAGGAAAAAAGAGGATTAGTTTTGTAGTTTTTCTCTCTTCTATGGTAAAGTAGGATAAATAAATTCATAAAATATTTTGTTAGCTGAAAATAAAACTACTTATTATTTAATATACATAGTTGGATACACCCTATAAACTATACCCTTGAATTTTCCAATATTCGGACTGTTCAAAAACTAATTTGAGAACTGAAAAGCAGTCACTTTTTAAATTCTGGTTATCTTTTTTAATAAATGGCCCTGTATGCTTCTTGTGAACGCTGTATTTTAATATATTGCACATTTCTTTAGAAACTGAAAGCTATTTCAACAAAAAACTTTAATGAGCTGAATGTATTTCAATAGTTTTGTTGTATGGGTATAAAATGTATGTAATGGGAAAAAAATCTAAATAATATAATTATGCATATATAAACGTGTGTCATAAAATTAAATTTTGCGTATGTACACGTATTTAATAAACGCGTAGCCTTACATAAAGAGTAGGTTTGTCATAACGCATTTTTATATACATACATCATGTTAGTGTTACGTTACATTTGTATTTTACCTATATATTTTTTTGATATATTTGATTTTTGATTTTTTAGAAGAATATCTTAGTTAGCTCAATTATGCTCTACATACGTTTAACATACATTTTGCACACAATACTTTTCACTTTATTTGTTATGTAATGGCAATTTTTTTTTTTTTGGATTATAAGGAAATCAAAATCAAATTACTCTTTCTTTGAAAGTTATACGTGAATTTTACAATATATACGAAATAAATTTTTTTTTTAAGAATACACGTGGTATGCCAATTCATGTAAAAATTAAATTTCTCTAAAGCAAATGTAGTATTTTATACAAAGTACACATATACAAAGTATAAGTTAATTTTTAACATCAATATGTGCATGCTTTCGAGCAAAATTTTCAAAGAATCATGTTAAATTGAATATTGAATCCTTGAAAAAATTAAAATTTTAGTCTTTGATTATTTATGATTTCTGGTTGTAATAAAGGTACACATTTTAGTTTTATGAAACATATTGTATAATAGTATTTTGTATTTTTATGGGAACATCAATAATGACTCTAGTTATTAGAGTACACTTAGTTCCAAACGGGATTTATTGTCACTGTTTTATTTTACGCTTGTATGTATAGGTTTTGAAAACATTTGAAAAAAAAATTTTAATAATGGACTGTGTTCAACTACAATAAATAATTCAAATTTTATGTCAATAAGCCAGTCAATAATAATTTAATCACCTTACTTGTTGGGTTATTTTGAGGTTATGTACCGCGAAATGTAGAACATTTTTGTATATTAGAAAATGTAAAGAAAAATGAATTAAAATACTTTCAAACAAGCAATGCAAATTAATATTATTCATGCAAAATAGATAGTGATAATAACAATAATAATTCGAACAGGAACTGTTAAATTAATTGTAGAGAGAATCAAAAGTTACATTGATGCCATTCAATAATTAATTCGTTCTCAATACATAAGTATTGTTCGGATTAAACTACATTTGAATGTTGTGTTACTTTTGTAATCGCTCTTTTACTTTATCCTTACTCTGTTGAATATAATTTTCTCTTAATTATTTTCAATATTTTTCTCTTTTAATACACTTTCAATATATTCAATTATTTTTTTTTTTTTTGTAAAATTCTGTTTTTGTTTTATATTTGAAAATAATTGCGTTTTTTACTTTTATACAATGAAATTTTTATTTTATATGCTCTTATTTTTTAAATAAATTTTAAATTCAAAATGTTAAAAATGCAAAAGAAGAAATTTTTTTTTACTCTTTTGTTACTATGGAAAAAATATTCATGCATATTTACATAAACATTTATATTATGTTTGATATTTTATTTCCATTTGAATATTGAAACATTTTTAATATTGTGAGTAAAACACAAAAAAAAAAAACAAAAAACAAAAAAGAAATGAAAGGGAGAAACAAGAATGCAATTAAAATTTCAAAGTTTGTAACATTGGAAATTTTTGCATAAACGTTTTCTTTTTTTTTCATTGTTTTTTTTTTTGAAATTCATTAAAAATAAAAAAAAAGTGTTTTGTTTTTTGTTGTTTTTTTTTCCCATTTACTTTTAACAACAGTTTTCATTCCTCAAAAACACAAAAATAAAAATTAAAACAGCCAGAAAGTTAAGAAAATCTAAGGGAGTTATCATTTATCCGTTCCCTTTTTTTTGCCATAGGCTTTTTTCAGTTATCCGTTTTTAATCGTATGTTTTTGAACCGAAAAAACACATCTGACTGTAAGTTTACTTCAACATATATGTACATACAAACATATTTATACATATGAGACTTTATATTCATAAAATGCACCTTAACATATTATACTAGGCAGTCTTTAAATACACACGTCAGTTAGGCATAATATAGTATATTTTACCAAAAAATACAAGTAATGGGACGCCTTTTATGACTTTGGGCAATTTTTTATTTCTTTATTTCTTTTGCGTTGAATTTGATTGCGGAAAGAATTCTTTTTTTTTTCTCGTTCAATAGTATACTTACATTTCACTTCCTATTACAATATTACGTGCATAAAATACGAACTAGCTATTCTATACTGTCAAATGACGAAAAAAAAAGTAAAAAGTGCATGTTTCCATGTAACCAAGTTATTGGTTCGCTTATTGATAGTACACAAAAGTTTACTACTGAAATGTTCTGAAATTTAATCGTATTTTTAGAAAAATTTAAAGTATTTTTAAGCACATTTGAAAATTCATTGTTCGCTACTTGATATTAACTCAAATGCAAAAATAAATTGAAAATTATTAAATTGCTTGAATTGCATTTCTCCACTAAATAATACATTCAACCATTGAAGGAAATTGATATGATAATTTTGTAGAAATTTTATAATTTCAGCATACCGCACATTTAATGCACATTTTAGGAATACTACAGTGTAATTATTCATTTGAATAAATTAATTTACAGAACACAACTATTGATTAGGACACAACAAATCGTTTATGTTACTTATTGCAGTAAAGCTACATAAGTTCCAGATTGTTATATTGTGAAGTGATTATTATTTATGCTATTTTTTAAATTGGTTAAAAAACAAAAAAAATTGCATAAATTTGGGCGAAAATCCATGTCAACTTTAAGCTTATATCTACTTAATAAAAATGTATGGAACTTTTGTGAATAAATATTTTAAAATAATATTTGTGCTGAAAATGTTACTTGATTATTTTAATGACACATGTCATAAGTCTATTGTCTAATCTCTTTAATATTTCAAATAAAGGATAATAATATAGCTAATTTACAAAGTAATAATACCAAAGAATCATGAGAATTTTTTTTCCATGAAATTTTAAATTACATGAAATTTTTTAATAAC